TGAGTTACTGTGTGTTTGTGTGTTGTGTTTTTAGATTCTCTGCATGGGTTTGGCCCTGACCAGCGTGTATACACATCCTGTTTCTTAGCCCATGTCCTCATCCTGTTTCTCTGCACTCTCATTTTGTCTTCGACTCTTGACCTTTTAACCTTTTTTCTCACAGCTGAGGACGCACGACAGCAGGCCTGTTTTTCAGAGCTACTTCTGAGCCATCTACTGTCACAGTTCAGCTGTCTCTGCAGAGCTGTATATTTAGAACACTTAACTCGACAACACAGTTTCCTGTTTGGCGGACTCAGGATTGAACGTTAAAAATCTACAATGGGCTTTTAATGCAGGTTTATTTCTGGTCATTGGTGATAAAGCTACTAGAACATGCCTGAGCCTGGCTCATCTTACAGGACAAAAGCAGTCAGTTTTCTAGAGCCCATGCCCGCCGTCATTGAGCCAGTCAGCTATACAGAATTCAATAGTGGACAGTGCACAGGGTAGCCGGTAATTGACAATGATTGTTTATGTTTCTCCCCACTGTGTCTGTGTGTGTAACATCCAGTTGCCATGATGCCCAGGAGGAACTGCAGGAGTTCCAGGAGGGGAGCCGGGAGCTGGAAGCAGAGCTGGAGGCACAGCTTTGCCAGGCTGAACACCGCCTTCGAGACCTCCAGAGTGAAAATGAGAGACTGAAGAATGAGATGGCGAACCTAAAGGTAACTGGGCCTGGCGACTTGCCGTGCAGCTTATTTTGGGATTTGGCTTGCTTTTGCGGTCTGTGGTTTAGGACACCAATAAACTAATTTGTGCTTACTTAAGAGGTTATGTGATCTCTGTTGGATCCTGAGGACAAGGTCCAATGTGTTATTTGTATGGTAGGTCATAATAAGGCATGCTCTTAGTTAATCCTCCAGCACTCCTTAATTGGATGTCAGGATAAAGAGGAAGAAAATAGAAAACTGCAAGGACAAGTCTGGTTCTTAATCACTGTAGGCATAATCAGAGTGCGCTCGCTTGGTGATCCAATAGTCCATAGTTTAACAAATTACTGTGTATACATTCAGGAAATTAAACTGTACACCGCCACTGTACACAGAGCAGAAAAGTATTGTGCCTTACATGTGGCCCAACGTGAGCATGCTTGCAGCAGCTAATCCTGAAGAGGATTAACGGTGTGAATGAAGATCATGAGAGACCAGAGAGATCATAAATCATGCTTTCCTGTCTCTGTACCTGAGGGGCCACAATACTGGCACACAGCCCTCACTGTACTGTGAAGTGCCACAGGGTCTCCCCAAGGAACGAAGAGGCTCTTTGAAGTGGAATGTGGAAGAACATATTTTCTAACAGTCTTATGATTCACCAGGTTGTATTAAAAACTGTAGGAGTACTGCAATTTACCATTGAATAGTATATAAAATGGTACTTTAACACCGCATGCCTCATCAAAAGTACATTAAAGTTGATAAAGTTGTTTTCTGTACCAGTATGTCTGTGTGATGTTCTTGTTTCTCTACATGCACTCGCTCCTAAGCTCTGTTCTCTTCTCCACTCTCTCCGTCTCTATCAGGAGAAGCTGGAGCAGCAGTATGCCCAGAGTTATAAACAGATTTCTATGCTAGAGGATGACCTGGGCCAAACACGCAGCATCAAGGAGCAGCTCCACAAATACGTCCGAGAGCTTGAGCAGGCCAACGATGACCTGGAGAGAGCCAAAAGGTCAGCCCGACAGGACATTTTGGTTAATATATGATATATAAGTTTATTATTTTTTTATTTTTTTAATTCTCACCCGGCACATCAATGAAAATAGTGGCAAATTTTCCGCTCAAAATTCTCAAACAAAAAAAACTGTGGGTTTGTTGACAGCAGGCCTCTCATTTTGAGTTGGTGACTGTCAATTTTGCTAGCTGAAATTGTGACTAGCAGATTTTTTGAAAAGTAGCTAACACTCTCTTAGCCGGATTTGGTAAGACTGTAACTTACGTCGGAGCAGACAAACACAAAGTTTTCCATACAATTTTGCTCCTGTGTCTTTGGCTTTGGAAAGGCTAAAAAAAGACATAGGTTAACCTTCCAAAGTCTTTGTGCTGAGTATTGCTCTTACTACACCCCCACCTACACTGCTTCGGCCCTGAGGGGATGATTAATTCTAACTGTATTTTGATTTTCAATCAATTGGACCGTATGTAACGTTCATAAAAGGTTTTAACAGCTGTGTCCATCAACCTCTATGTGCAGGGCAACAATAGTGTCTCTTGAGGACTTTGAGGGCCGTTTAAACCAGGCCATTGAGAGAAATGCCTTCCTGGAAAGTGAGCTGGATGAGAAGGAGTCTCTTCTGGTATCTGTGCAGCGGCTGAAAGATGAAGCACGAGGTGAAGACAAAGCCCGTTGGAATCCATTCTGACCTTTTGCAGGCAGCATGTTACCTCTGTGAGAGTTAGTGGAGGAGTTATTCATGAGTTTGACTCTTATCTTCTGCAGACCTGAGACAGGAGCTGGCAGTACGGGAGCGGACTACAGACAGGATGTCAGCACCCAGCTCACCCACCTTGGACATCGACAAGATGGATTCTGCAGTACAGGCCTCTTTATCCCTCCCAGCCACACCCGTAGGAAAGAGCATAGAGCACCCCTTCATCAGCTCAAAAGGTTGGTGTCAGTTACTCTCAGTCTTTACTGTGTATGTGAAATAGGACATTCACTGATATGTGTATTAATATTGGCTTGTGTGCTTGTGCAGCCTTGACCAATGGCTGTGGCAACTCATCCCTCACTCCTTCTGCTAGAATCTCAGCTCTTAATATTGTTGGTGACCTCCTGAGGAAAGTTGGGGTAGATATTCCTTTTAATTTAACACATAAATACATTACCTTTTTGGTATGGGGGTTTTGTTCTCTGTATGAATCACAGGGTTCACAAAGTAAACAAACAGTGCTTTAAAATTCTGAACAGGTTGCAGATGAGTTCATGTATAACACAGATTGTATTTCCTGTTTTGGGACTAGGCTTTGGAGTCCAAACTCGCCGCATGTAGGAACTTTGCCAAAGACCAGGCAGCAAGAAAAAATTTCTCCAAAGACAACGGCATACTCCTCAACAGCAATGCCACCAAGTTCTCTCACTCTCTACATACCACTTACTTTGACAAAACGTGAGTGTTTTAGCAAGTGGTTTCATTCTTCCCCTTTCTACTTGTCTTACTGTGCAGAAAATAACTAGTGTATTATACCATGTTTTATGCGTATTTCTTTTTGCCCTGTATGTGCGTTTGTTAATATTGTGCATGTTCACGTTGCAACTGCAGGACTGTTAATGGATTGGACCCCAGCTCCTTGACCTCCATGGCAACATCCAGAGCCATGTCTCCACCAGGCATGCTGCCTCTGAGTGTGTGAGGCGTCCCGCACCGCATAAACCTCTGCTGAAACTCACCCAACACAATGTGGGAACAGAGAGGACACTCGAAAGACCATTGCTGTGTACGTGTGTACGTGTGTATGTGTATGTGTGTGTGTGTGTGTGTGTGAGAGAGCGAGAGAGTTTGAAGGAAGAGTGGTGTGTGTTTCCTCTTTGGGATTGTGCATTTTTGCGTGCAAGAGAGGCTTGACTGTACAATGAACTTGCCTCCAGTTTGCAGCTCTAAATGCATCTGTGAGTAGGTGCACAGTGATGTGCGCATATGTTCCTACCACATACTTGCATGTGCCTAAAGCTGTACTGTACTTTGCTCGTATGAATGTCACTGCAAATGGTGTTGCTCTCTAGATGTCAACTCTGAAGTGGCTCCGTTGTACTCTTAGTTCCTCTGTTGATCTGAAAACTACTATCCCTGACAAAAGGTCCTTAACAGACCACAGCTTCCTCTTAACCTTCTTTCCCTCTTGTATTTTCACTTGAATTGCACAGATAAACTCATTTCAGTTTAGAATGTATTATATTTAAAAAGGGATATGTTCATATTAACTAATTTATCTCACAGTATCCTTTAAGATGAAATGTTTCTTATTTGCTATTTTCTCGCGTGTGTGCATATGTAATGTGGGGTTGGGAGAGGTAGAGTTGGACCCCATATTCATGACTGAAGTGAATGTTGATCGTTCAAAGCCATGTAGCCATAGTGAAGTTGTTTTTTTCGTTGCTGCCTGGCTGCTTGCTGTAATTCCTTTTGGAAGTAGTCTCCATGTTAAAGCTTGGGAATACCAGCTGGTTCTGTGCTCTGGGTTAAACCTGCACTTAAACAAACTGCTCCTCACAGGTTTCGCTGCAGTCAAGTGTTTTCCTCTGTGGACATCCATTGACATTTCGAGGGTTTAGCCTTTTTTATGTTTCATGAATACATTTTTATATATATATATATATATCTTGCGACAGGCTCACTTACCTCATTCTGTGATCTAATGGCAAATATCCACGGTGGATTCGTAAGATGAGCAGGTGGATTTGGCTTTATAAAGCTTTCACGATAAGATACTCCAAGCAAAACAAAACTGACTCAAGGATCCATTTTGAGACTTTTTTTTTTTTTTTTTTACCTTTGCTTGTGTATGTGAATTCATGGTCATTTGTGTCATGCAGCATATTCTGCTAATTATCTGTTATTGTGTGAACTTAATGTTAATTTGACTTGACTTGAGCAGGTTTGATATTGGCAATGCCTTCATTTTACATCCCAGAATTTTGTCTAAATCCATTTTGCCCTCATATTTCTCCCTTTCATAGACCTTTGTGTCACCATCTTGACATGTTGAAGCATAATTTGAAGCCTTTAGTATTTGATTATGAGATGTCACTCTGTGAGCCTGTTCTAAAGTGTGTCAGTGTGTATATAACTTGTAAGAATGGTAATTTTGCCTACCACATTTGTACATACTGACATTAAGGTCCTATTTATTTTAGGTTCTGTATGGCATGTGCAGATAATGAATGGTTAAAGCCGTTGTGTTATGATATCAAATTTGTCAAAATTGTTTGAGTAAATAAAGACTGATGATAAATATGACATGTTGTTTGGGTCAAATGCTATAATGTAAGTTGATACAGCACAAGGTCTGCTGACATTTTCCAAAGCTTTAAGTCACATCTTGTGGCCTTCATCGGTGGATGGAGTATGCTCATTTGCCATTCATGTCATGTCATTACTGTTGTACAATGTTTGAGTATACATCTGCTATAAAAGTAGAAGAATTTCAAGTAATGACAATCCAGCTGCCAATCATTATATAGTACCACTTCAGCTCACTGATATTCTGTCCATCAGGCTACACTAAATTAAAGACCTAATTTCTTCTCCATTGCCTCCTTTAATAAGTTCTTCTTGATCTAGAAAAATAGAAAGTAGCAGCCATTTCAGTCTCATAATATTAATCAACCATAAATCATATCGGCCATCTTAATAGTTGAGGTATGTCTGTGTTAAAGCAGAAGTATGGTACCTTTCCAGAGGCTGTCAGAGGGTAGCTGTCTACAAAGATCACATAGTGTGGCATCTTGAAGTGAGAAATCTAGTAGTGGGAGGGAAAGTCCACAAAATGTTACAGCTGTTCTCTGATTTTGAGTAAGTTGAGCTTTTTGCAATTATTACTGTCTCTCACCTGGCCTGTGCAGAATGCTTTTATCTCCTCTGCACTGGAGGTCTGGCCCTCCATCAGCCTGATGCAGGCACACACCTGCTCGCCCAGCCTCTCATCTTTCACTCCGACCACCTGGGAAACAGAGAAATAGGACTAGAAGCTTATTACTAACATGAAATATGTTCTCATGGAACGCTTCTTTTTTCTTTTACAACAACAAGAATGTCTACAATTGTTCCTTCATTTAGAGACAAACTAATTTCTGCTGCCCTCCAGTGGTTCTGAGTCTCACCTGCACCTCCTGTACTTTGGGATGTGTATAGAGAAATTGCTCTATCTCAGCGGGGTAGATGTTCTCCCCTCCTCGAATGATCATGTCCTTTATGCGTCCTTCGATGCAGCAGTATCCCAGACTGTTCAGACTGGCCACGTCACTGTGTAGAAGACAGTCACACATGAAACATGTATACACTATTTCCCCATGTTAGCATCAATCCCTGTAAGAGGCCTCTGTATTTTCTCTTTTAGACAGACGTTTAGTAAATATTGCACGTACCCAGTCCTGTACCAGCGGGCTTGGCAAATAGCCTGTCTGGTTTTCTCAGGATCGTCCCAGTATCCATGCATCACACAGCTGCCTCTGATCATCAGCTCACCTGAGGCCCCGAGAGGGACAATCTCCCCATTAGTAGGATCCACCACTTTAGCCTATAGTAAAAACACACAGGCATAAGTCGCAGTGTTGGTAATGGTGATATGTAAATAAAGGTTAGTACATACCTCAGTGTGGCTCATGATGCATCCAACAGTGTTCGTCTTCAGCTCCTCTGTGTCTTGTGGGAATCCCATGAATGTAATAGGGCTGTTCTCAGTGGTTCCATAACATATCTATTAAAACATAATGTACACATGCTGTATGTATGTATGTATGTATATGCTGGAGGAGCTATAACTATGTATTATAACGTTTTTATACAGCATTATTTGAAAAGGTATAGCACATGTAACCACTCACCGTTATCTCTTTCATGTTCATGTCTGTTATCAGTTTTCTCATAATCGCAGGAGGGCACGGAGAACCTCCCATGATACCTAAAACACATCAGCACACAGACAAGGATGCCTCAAATGCTTGTGAAACATCACAACACCTCAACCCAACATATTTATCATGTTTTAGTCTTCAAATCCCTTACCAGCTTCAACTGATGACAAATCATACTTGTGTAAATCTTGGCTAAGCATGTCGGCGAACATTGTGGGAGTGCCGTAGACGAAATTGCACCTTGAGTGAAAGAAAAATATAAAATTCTTTCAGTTAAAGTGCTTAATGTTGTATATGTGGAAGTCATTCGATGTGTGATGAGCAGCGGGCCGTACTTTTCGCTCTGAATGGCCTCTAGGTTGGCTCGGCTACTGTAGCCAGAGCATGGGAAGACCAGTGTGATACCATGCACCGCCATACTCATCCCTCCCAGCACAGAGCCAAAGCAGTGGTACATGGGTACGGGCACACACACTCGCACCTGAGGCTGATGGGAATATGGAAGATCACTTACATTTCACTGTTTTTGTTTTCTTCAAATCAGGAGACAAATAGGGACTTACTCTCCATCCATAACCCATTCGGAGACCAATAAAGTAGGCATTGTTTACAATATTGTGGTGGGAGAGAGTGGCTCCCTTTGGACTCCCTGTAGTCCCCTGAAACAAATCAACAAGCAACATGACTTGATCTGAACCACTGTTAGATCTATGTTGCATCATAATGTCAATCCAAGTGTTCAAACATGTGGGCCAGTGTGACAGGTGCAATACTGAAGGTTACTGATGTGAACTGAATGTTGATGGGTTCATCTGAGGACAGCTTGCTCTGCAGATCCGTCAGCTCTTTGTGGTGCCGACTCTCCGCTGCTTGCATCACATCGTCTACATGGAGCATCCCCGGTTGTCTGCTATCAGTCACAATCACCATCCGTAAGTCTGGCACCCTGGCACACCCAAGACAGAATCTTTATACTACATCCACAAACCCATTGATTATAGATTGTGCCCTTTGTTAAGTGTTTACTGTATCTTACTTCCATAACGAAATAACGAGGAGAAACATGTTTTAAATCTGATATTTGACATTGCTCTGTCAAACCTGGAGCTTTTGATCATGCCTTCTGGCGTTGTGTCAATCTCTGGGCAGATCTCCCTCAGCATCTCACAGAAATTTTGTGTTTTAAAGCGAGTAGGGCAGACCACAGCTTTACACTGGACCTGTAAATGACAAGTCAGTTCTGTTGAATTTATTTTCCCACATAGTTGTTTGTAAGGGTTATTTTTACCATGACAACAGTAAAATGTCAGATGTCAGTTGTCATGCTTTTGTATTTTACTTTGGTTCTGAAGGGGCCAGAGGTGGGTCATTGTTTTACAAGTCCCAGGTAAGTCCCAAGTCTTTGAGTTTCAAGTCCTAAACTAATGTGCTCTTCACCCAATGTAATACATTTCATATTTTTAACAAGGGTTAAAAAATAAAAACCTGTATTGAAAAAAGGCAGAGGCTCAGTTTCACACAACAAATTTCAAGTGTTGATGCGCTGCAAACAGTTCAAGTCAAAAGATTCAAGTCCAAGTGAAGGTGTTCAAGTCAAAGTCGAGTTGCAAGTCTTTTTTGATTTTGTGAAGTCGAGTCTAAAGTCATCATGTTTGTGACTCAAGTCTGACTCGCGCCCGAGTCATCGGACTCGAGTCCACACATCTGGTAGGGGCAGCTGTGGCTCAGGGAGTACAGCCATCGTTGACTTGAAGTGTCCTTGGGCAAGAAACTCAACCCCAAATTGCTCCCGAAGGCTGTGCCATTGGTGTGTGAATGTGTATGAATGAGTTTCTGTCTCTGGTGAGCAGCTGGCACCTTAGCCTCTGCTCATCAGTGTATGAATGTGTGTGAATGGGGTGAATGTGCTTTGAGTGGTTGGAAAGACTAGAAAGGTGCTATACAAATATGGACCATTTACCATTTAATAGAGTAAGTACGTGGAAATGTAGGCCAATGCCCTGTAGAACAGTTTGTCGTACCTTCTTTAGAGTAAACTCCACTTCCTTCACTTGATAGGCCGGATTCAATGATACCTGCAAGCGTAACAACATTTTAAAATCAAGTGTTTTTATGCAGCACCTCACCACATATTTAGGGCTTTAAAGTACATAGCATATCACACGTGTTACATTCTGTATACCATATCATACTATACATGCAACACATTATAATGACCTGGTAAACATACAGTATTACTACGGAATACCTCCCAAGGGCCCCTAAAATGGTTCAATGTCCTGCTCACCAGCAGGGTGTTTGATAACATAGGACAGGGGCTTAAGTCATCAGGCTGACATAAGACTGTATGTCTAACTACAAAAGGCTACACTGTAAATGCATTATAAAGGTATACCAGTATAATTCCAGCCTTGGCTGAAGCAAACTGGAAAAGGATCCACTCATATATGTTGGGTCCCCAAACTCCCAGCCGGTCGCCTCGCTTCAAGCTTAAAGCAAGCAGACCTGCAGCCATCTGGTCAACCTGCACCAATGCATGTCACAAAAAATATTAGATAATTCTTCAGTTCTGGAATTTTACAATGTAGCTCTCTAGCTTTTATGCCTGCGTTAGAGCTTGACAGATTTTATCCGCTGCACACATTTCAAATATTCCTGTGAGAGAAGGTTGGTGATGATTTCTCCCAAAGAACAGAACCAATACATGTTGTTAAACTAAATATGATGGGTGTTACTTCATTTAGAGCCTTTGACTAAACTAAAAATCGTTTTAAAGAGTCACAATTTTGTGTCACAGGACTACCGCATGTGATTTCATCAAATGCCAAATGGTCAAACTATTCTAATAACTTAAATGTTAACACTGGTAGAAAAGGCACAAACAAAATTTAGCAGGTGATCTCACTAATTATCTCCCAATTCACTCAAAGTTTATTGTTAAATAGGAGATTCAGTGCTAAAACATGATTAGTGTTTAAGAGGTTATCTGAGCACATCTTGCTGAAACTGTGCAAATGTTCTCCGGATGCCATCCTGCAGGAAGACCACAGCTTCATGGTCAGGCCAGCGCTGGACTGTGGAGTCCAGGATCTGGCCTACAGTCAGGGGGAGCAGAGAGATGGAGGAGGTGCCATGGACATAGCTGCTGGTCAGAGAGGGTTTGTAAGGTGGACTGTCCACGTGGAGGGACCTTATAGAGAACACAATGCAGGAAAAAACACAACACGATTATAATACATGGACTATGATTTGAGCATTAAAATGCACCACATATTTTTTCGAGAGAATTCCCACTAATTCCTCTCTATAACAGAATACATGAGACTGTTTAAACAGTGAAACTTGGATAAGCTTAATGAATAAGAGATAACAACATGCGCAGTGCCAAAGCAATCAGGCTCAGTCTCAGACTTATAGGCCAAGAAAAATCAAAGCATGAGTTGTTTAATGAAAGCAAAAACAATTTTGAGGAGCCATTGTTTCAGGCACTGAAATGAACCTTAAACCAAACAATCATGTGGAAAAACAATGTACTCATATTATTGGCAGACAGAATAGTCATGGTTAGCCCTTCCAAAAAAGAAATGTTTTTATATTACTTGTCAGATAGAATATCAGGAATTCTTTCTTTGATTATGTGAGCTCATTGTTTTCTGTTTTTTGTATTTCAAAAGCTATTACTGCCCAAGCCATTGAATTCATTGTAAGTGTTGAACCGAGTAGGCCTACCTTTTTTTAAAGCCTTTAGAGTAAGTTAACTTACTCTAAAGGCTTTAAAAAATGAGAACAATAAATTGTTGTTCTAGTAGCTACTACGGCATATTCTTAAACTCTTTATACATCCATCACTGTAGACAGAAGTTGTAGCTTCACAGGGAGATGAGAGCTGAATTCTTGCATCAAGTGATTTCACTTGAGTCAACATCTGTTAGGGCTGAAGGCTACAAGTTTGGAAATTAAAAAAGGATCTGGAGTTGGTTAGAAAGAAGTGAACTTAGCAGGCTTCTGTAGCCCGCTCCTCATCTTTGCTTAAGGTTAGTATAACAGGCCTGATTCTCCGACTGAACTGTCAACTATCGAATTGCATTGTGGATACTGTAAGTTTTGACAAATTAAAAAAAGATGATTGTCGGTTCTGCTGCATTGATTTTTAATGTTATAGAAGTGCAATGCTAAATTAGTTGATGTTGACTTGGTCCTAGTAACAGTCAGTGGTGGACTCAGATCCTTTATTTAAGTAAAATTAGAAATACCATTACCCCTTTAACTTAAGGGTCCAGTGTATAATATTTCTGAGAATCTTTTGACAGAAATTAAATTTAACTATGTTTTCAGAACTGTATCAAGATCTTACATAATGAACCATTATGTCTTCATTACCTTAGAATGAGCCATTTCTATCTCTGATAATGCTAATCCAACATATCTTTGTAGCATCCAAGTTGATTGCACATTCCGACTCATGGCCACATGAACACACACTAAACTCGGAAGAACAACTTCACAAATCCGGACCATGCGAGGAGCAGGCGAATGCACCGTGAGCCACTGATTGCACTTCGCAACCCTCACCACTAGATGCCACTAAAACTTACACAATGAACCTTTAAGTATAAGAACAAAGGTATTATCAGCAAAAGTACTCATTATGCAGAATGGTTCTTTTCACAGCGTTACATTACTATAGCATATTATATTATTCTACTACAAAAGCCTCGTTTTAGAAGATGTTAACTTTACACAACTGTAGGGAGAAATTCATGCCTAGGTCTATAAGATATTTGAAAACCGAACAGTTATCAAATATTAACATCGCAACATACAGCAAATGAGAAATGCAGGCACTCAAGGGCACAATGATTAAAAAGTTATGGTTGTTTATTAATTTGACCACCTCCAGCCAAGAAATGTGAGGGACCCAGTGAGACACAGACTGTTTAGAAGTAACACGGTATGAATGGAAGAATGGTTCTAAAGTCAACTGAAAGCTGTAGGCCCTACGAACAGGTTAAGCTAGGATGACCTATTTTTTTTCATTGACTGAGACTCAAATTGATATTTAGATTAGGCTATCTCACAAAGATCGCTGTCATCTGATTTTTTAAAAAAGCCAATTTTTTAATTATACAATTACCTACAGACTTTAATGCATGGGGTTCTTAACCTTTTGACAGTCCGACCCCTTTTTGAAGTTTTGAAGATGACCCCCCGCGGATCAGACAGACTGCGTTTTTGCAGTGAGAGGCGCCTTTTTTAAATTGTAGGCTATATTTTTGGCAGTGAGCGTTCTGCGCGCTGTTAATGCGCCCTGGACGCCTTGCGTTTTGGCCGCCTGCTGCGCCTTTTTGAATGAGCGCTCTGAGTGCACGGAGTTGGAAAAAAATTAAATTGTCCAAATTTAATAAATGACAGAAGGGCCCTCAGTGGTGCTGACGGAAGTTTAGCCTACAGTTGCTTGGATTGTCCGGAGAACAACTGCAACAGTCTGTCCCCAACTCATCCTAAAATAGGCCTAAGCCTTAAACCGGCCATCAGAACCTGGACCAACTGGTAGGCTACTTCCAGCGGTGTCTCCTCTTTCTGAGGGTCTCATCATGAGACTCTCATGTACCCACACGGATCACCGTTTCTCTGTCTCCTGCGTGTTTGTGTAGCCTACTCACACACTCAAATCCATGCAGGCGATTTCCGTTTGTCTATTTTTTTTAAAGCAGATGTTTTTAGCAACAAAAGACCTGTGAGTTGTGATCAAGTTTCTGCTAATATGACCGTTATTAGGCTACTTGGCAGCAAACCAAAGATTATAGGTCGCTGGCGATATAATCTTTGATTAGACTGCCTTGCAACATTAAAAAACCGCAGCGCTTTGCTCTTTTCTGAATTCAACCAAAAAAAGACCCCCAGGTTAAGAACCACTGCTTTAATGGAACACAAACATCTTAAATAGTCTACATTTGTGAATGACACCATGTTCCCCTTGGACCAATAAACTTACCGACACCACTGGAGCAAACTTGTGCTGCATAATTTCCAAGTCTTGCTGTGTTTGAGTCCATGCGCAGATCTGAGACTGTGAGCACCTTGCTTTAGCAGTGAGGAAGTAATCAGTGCTGACATTGGTGTTAAGTATCTCACAACCAATCTGTTTCCACTGGGTCTAAATACCGTCTGAATATACTGAGTCTTAACAACGAATGCACTTGATCTTATCTTTCTGTCTTTGCTGTAGCCGCATTTTTGTCACATATTAACCTTTACCTTACACTCATCCTCATTGGCTGAGAGATAATGGTATAAACAAATTTCATCATCTTCCAAGAAAATTTTAACAAGAATATAAATAACCATTAACCCATACTGACAAGGACCTGCAGGACAGTAAATTTATAACGTCTGCTCAATGGCCATTTTGGGGGGTGGCATGTGGTTTTTGAGTGAAATCTCATTGGTCACCCTGTGGCTACCCCAGACCTGATTGGTAGTTCAAGAGAAACACCTGTCAATCAATGATGACGGCTCAGAAAGAAAATTGTTACTTTTTTGCTTTACGAGTAAGGTTTGCTATTTAAATGCATATTATTGTCAATCAGAATATTTAAACATTTTTAAAATTTTTAAATACATTAGGCCTATTTGACATTTTAAGTATGCAGAGGCAGGGTAGGCCTACATATTGCACTTAAATTCCACAAATGATTTGCCGAACTTTTTAATTGTGTTATATAGGCCTAGCCTATTCAAAGTAGGCTAATTGAAATTATCAGAACATGTGCAAAATAAAACTGTGAATGGAGGGTTGTTTTTTTTACATACAGAGCTTAATCTGCTGCTAGGGTTTCCAGACAGACACCTATGAGCCCCCTATAGCCTATTTCTCACACTGATTTGTACCCAATTTAACAATATTTCGGCTGGACATTGTAGTTATAATAAATGAATCAATAATTGATTGAAGGACTGATAGAATTGCATTTTCCCACAGGGATAACAGCTATGAAGAGAAAGAAGGACATTGAAAGGTTTGTCTTCAAAAAAAAGAAAAGAGTCTGAGCCAGTCACAGATACTTCCAGCAGCAGGTAAATAGCCCACTCAAGTCAGCAGCAGTGATACATCAGTGAGGAAGTCAGGCATGTTCAGAAAGACCCTGTGACTTCTGGATAAACAAATATGAATTTGCCCTGTACCTTTACATTCAAGTTGTCACTGAGGTCCATATAGCCTAATTATCACAAAACAAGTAACTTTGTAATTTGTAATTTGAATGTTCCATTCTTGCTCATATGACATGCCTTATAAAATGATGCGACATTGCACTGATACTTTGCACAAGTTAGCCTCACAGTGATGGAGTGATTTTGATTATTATTTGCAGATTTTTCACAGTCAAGAGCAGCAGACACAGCCTCATCTGAAAGTAGCCTATTTCCTCGGACACTGCATGGTAAAAGGAAGAGGTGCATCCAGAGTGGCTGGTATAAACAGTGCATGGCTTGAATATTTTCACAAACTAAACTCTGCCTACTGACTAAGATTACCTCACATCACATAACAGTAAATACTTATTTGCAGGTATGGTGTGTTCGGTTTATGTTACAATTGTTTACAGCTGTCATAATTTATAAAACAAAGTAATTTAATCCTTTATTTATGTTTGGCCCATGACACTGCTTTGGATTGAAAGCCTCAACTGGTTGTATTTCATTTAAATTGTAATTATTTATTAAATTGTCAAATGAATCATTATTTTTGACACGTATCTTTTTTATGATTATACAGCAGAGCTGATATATGCTGATTCATTCTCTACAATGGCACTTAAAATGTGTAACTGACTTTTCCTAAACAATTACTGATTTAAAAACAGATGTTTCTAGAAACTTTAATAGGTTGAAATAGAACAGGAATAGAAAACTGTCAAATATCAAAACAACAGTCTGATGTTGAATACAAACAATTCAGTGAATGCTAACATGAGTTTTAGAATTCAATTATTACATATAGCCTACTGTATGTGTAGATGCTGAAGCAAAGAAATGTGAAATTTACACATTTTGATCATGTGCCTTCATAAAGGCTCTGTGCCCCATCTTGGCCACCCCAGAAAAAATGTTCTGGATACATCACTGTCTGCTCTGCACTCAAAAAGCAACAAACAAGGAGATACTAACAAACGTAAACCAACTGGAGGAGAAAAAAGCTGGCACAAGCTACAACTAAAATCAATTTATTCATTAAAACATCTTTATCAGGTGTCTAAGAAGGGGACAAAAAATGCTCCAGGGATAAACAACACACAGCACAATCCAAAATATCAAATCAGAATCGTTTGTCCCAAATCTACAAGGTAAGGAGAAAGGAGAAGATAACAGAAATACCCCATAGTACAGCAACGGTTTTTAAAAGAATCCAGTAACAGCCATGTTTTACGTTTATTTCATAAAATAAAGTGTATAATCCTGCTTGAATATTAGTTATAATTCTGTTTTATCATCTAGTTTTTGTTTTACCACGCACAGCACATCACACCTCCATTAAATCAAACTGATTTAAAGGATGTTAATACAAACATTTTTTTATTTAAAAAAAAACATAATTCTTTAAATAGCTAACACGCAGTTGCAGTCCTACTTGAAAATAATCTGTATAATTTTGCGAATTCCCTTTTAGCCTTAAAAAAGCCTGTCATGTGTAGCATCAACAGATATGACATATACAACTGGATGATTGGAAAATATTTACATAATTTTGAAATTGAGCCTGCAATGCCACCTATGCACCAGGATATAGGATGTTTTTCCTGTTAATTTACAGGGAAAAGAACACCCCTTATTAAAATAATTTCATGACAGTTTTTATTAAACCAAAAATTGAGTATAGGGCCAAAAATAACTTTGTTCAAAACAAGCCACGGTTTTACATAAACATCAAACTTGATCATGTGGAGTGGCACTGAGTTTGTAATCTGTCACACAGTGAAAAGGTAAATGTATGCAAAATAATACATTTACAGTGTTGAATATTAATACCAAAATAATCTGTAAAAGTTGTAAACATTAGTAATTTATTACAACGGTCTACTTAATATTTTACCATTAAAAAAACTTTAGCATAAAATAATCTAAAAATCCTAAGCAATTATTCCTCTTTAAAACAGTGAATACAAATTCCAACCAACATTAATTTTAAATAAACTTAAATAACTTCATGAGAAAATAAAGGGCTTCGTAATACAGTGCAGTAACAGAAAAAGAAAATGTCATACTGTTACTGGCTGCAGTTTGACAAAGGAGCAGTGGGAGGAAACATAGTGTGACTTTATAGAAAATCAAACTTAAAGATTAAAAATTTCAGACCCAAGAGTTTATCAATGCACTGTTTTAAAGCTGTAAACAGTTTCTCTTCTATGCAAATGTGTGTTCTTCAATCACACACTGGTAACATACACTGCGTTTTCTGATGTTCCTCCTTTTGAGGCGACATACTGGCAGTCAGGGGCCAGGATTACAACAGGCTTCTGATAGATAGCTGATGGCGTCTTCATGCTCTTTTTCTTCTCCTCATCGTTTTTGCTGTCCAGGAAGTAGAAGAACCCCAGGAGAAAGAGGCTGGCAGAGAATACACACACACTGCACGCGTAGAAGACATACGAATACTGGCCTGTGTGGTCCACCAACATACCTGAGAAATGCAAAAGAAAGGCAAAAGCTGACCAGAATGACATAATTCATCTGCAGTGTTGATGAATTTCTCTTGAATCTAACTTTACTTTGTTACTTTCCCTAAAAAGTTTCCAGTTGGCGCACTACAGTAAGTTAGTAATTTTGAAGAGTACCTCAAGTTAGCCAGCAAAGTACAAAAAACAGTCATGCAACAACTAGAGTAATAGAAAATAACAACAACAACACAGTGAGTTTGAAAGATTTTTCTTTGTGACCTTATGAGCTTAAAACTATCACAGGCCTCTACTGAATGGAGAAGAGTGGCGAACACGCTGAGAACTTAACATGCCTTGCTTTTTGCTCACCATTTGTGTGCATATTCAGTGAAAAACTATTCAACATACTGTAATTTCACTTTACAAGTGGATTTGCTTTCTGTGGGTCTAAGGAATATGGCAACATACTGTGTTGAGATCATTTCTGACCAACAGATACACCTTAACGTCATCCTGAGGGGAACATGAATGTGTGAAATCCAACCAACAGTTGTTCAGATATTTAACTAAGAAACCACAAATGGTGGCGCAAGAGGAAAAGTCAGAGGGTCACAAAAGTCATGAGGATTCATCTTCTGGGGACCATGAATATTTGCAAAACATTTCATGGCAATCCATCTGATTCTTGAGATGTTTCAGTCTACCAAAGTGGTGGACCGGTAGACACTGCCATCTCTACAGCCATGCCACAAAAAACAGCAAAGGCCGCATGTATATGTTTGTGTGTGTGTGTGTGTGCGTGCATGCGTGCATGCGTGTGTACCTGCTAGAGGTGGCCCAATGAGCATTGTTCCACTTTGCAGCATGCAGAGAAGTCCAAGGGCTGAGGGGAAGCGGTTCATCTCCACAATGTCCATCAGCACAGTATAGAGCAGCGAGCCACCCACGCTCATGGACAGTCCAAAGATCACCACGTACACCAGGAGAACTTCGAAGGAGGCCGACGCTCCACAGATGCAGTTACTCAGCCCGTTCACGAGCACAGCACCGGCAAACACGTACACGAAGCTGCTGCTGTCTCTGAAGCGTGGCAGGCCCAAGACTAGGGCAGCCGTCGGTCGCACTGCAATGTTCACCAGGCCCAGGACTGACATCAGGAAGGCCGCACGGTCTATTTCCATGTTGTGGTGAGTAGCATAAGGCACCAGATAGACCAGAGGCACTACACACCCCAGTGTCATCCAGGTCACTCCCACAGCATAAGCGCGGTAGCGAGGATTAATCACGAGCAGGTCAAAGGCCATATGTCTGTGTAGGAATGCTATAAAGCCCTGAAGCACAGTCTTTACATTGCTTTTGACCCCCTTTGTCTCCTGCTGCAGAGAGAGGTCGTTTGTTTTATCCAAAACCTGAGAGCATCTGGGTTTGTTTGGTCCTGATGCAATGGGCCTCATCACTGCCCCACATACACAGCAGTTTAGCAGCACACCGCCCAGAATCAGGAAGCTGCCGCGCCAGCCAAACTGACCGAGCAGGACATTGGCAATCAGGGGTAAAGTGGTCAGGCCTACAGCCGTGCCGGTGGACGACAAGGCATTAGCAAAGACCCGACGTCGCACAAAGTAGTGGCCCATGATCGTCACTGATGGCTGGAAAGAAAGGCAGAATCCCAGTCCTGCAGAGGAGAGGACAGGAGAGTGTGATGATCCGTCACCTTGGTGGAAATGTGGAACTGTGGGTGTGTGTATCTCCTCACCTGTGATGCCGCTAGTGATGTAAATTTCAGTGATGGTCCTGGCCAGGGCAGAGACCGCCATGCCCAGTCCACTTAAGAGCCCGCCAACCATCACTGTTACCCGGCAACCAAAACGCTCCACTAACATGCTGCATAAAGGACCTGTCGAGAAATGGGGGTAAAATTTCAAGTATTAATTTCATTAATACTGAGAAGTGTTTGCAATCTTTTAGCCCACATGGGTTTTTAAGACATATTACAGTTATTTACAGGGAACGTTTTTACTTTGTAAAGAAACAGACACTCCCAACGCTATTAAAAATAAATAAATACATGTGCAAAAGTCTCCAATAACCAACAGATCACTGTAAATCTTTCATATTTATCAATCATTCTCACGCTAAACAAAAGATACAGTACAATACACATAGTACAACTATTAGTAAAAAAACAACAACACACTGTTCCAATATAAAGTGACAGAGACTGCATTAATTTTTCTAAACAGACAATATTTATTTTTACGATAATCGATTGTTCAGAGACGATCTTTTCAAATACAAATCGGCAGGCCCAAATTAACAGAAAGCTATGTCCTCATTAGCACAACAAATCAACCTGATTTGCATCTATTATTTTTGAACAGAGAAATGAGGCTTCACAAAGGACCAAAAACAGTGCCTTATTAATTTCCTCTTGTCTCCAGTGTATTTTCAGAAACATAAAACACTGGTAATATCTGCTTTCTAGTCTTGCCAAAATGTGGAAAGCATGTTGCAAAAGTGAATTATAAAAATCCATTTCCTGACTCACCAAAACCGACTAATGCCAAATACATTACATAAGCACAGACTTATCAAATAAAGTAGACATCTAAATCAGCTTAGGGGGCTTTTCAGCTCTTTGATGTCCCATCTCCATGCTTTCATGACTCCTTTTCCACTTTGATACGGACATAAAACAAATCTCAGAATGTTAACTGCTTGTATGTAATGTATACATGTATCATGCAGTTATAGTCCGTGCAAAACAATAAAAGGAAATATAATGTACATGAATTTGGTGAAAGGGCAAGAAGGTGGTTACAAACAGATGAAGTGTTCCAGCACGCTCATACCCTTTCATATGATCTACATGCCGAGGGTCCAGCCTCTAGTGCTTCACAAAAAGGGAAGCATTAATACACAAATCTTACCATCTAGCAGCTGACATCTTCTACGTTTTACAGGCAGGAGCCAAGAAATGCCAGACGTTTCACCAGTGCACCTGTGAAAATGCATTATTCTACTGCTGAATACATTTGTGCTCCTCGAGCTCGAGAGGGTGAACTCTTCCACATGCTTTCCTCTCGTGCCACCACCCATGAAAATGTCAGCTTTGCACGCAGGATACCTCAAAATGTGATTGACAGATTGTCATGAAACTTTCTGTAAATGCTCCCAAGGTGATAAACCATTTGGATTTAACAGCCCCTGTTGTTTACTCTAGGAAAAACTCTACTCCTAGTTAGAGGTATGAATAATAAAATCATTTTTTTTGTTCTAACACCTTTGAGTGTAAGAACTGCTGCCTCCAGGGCCCATTAGTGAAGCTCTAGTACATTTAATACATCTAATACATTTGAACAAGCTGAACCTGTACTTAACAAATTTTCCAGAGGAAATATTTAAGTTCTGATAGCTTTCTGATAGAGGGAGGAAGGCAGACAAAAGACAAATAAACTCTCCTGCACAAGAACAATGGCCAAAGCACTGAACTCATCACATCTGCAGCCTGACTCATTGCTGTACAGGAAGCAGTACAGTAAATGTGTATTTTAATATAACAAATAACTTTTAAAGCAAACTTTGAATAACTGACCATGATTGATGCCACCTCGAAAAAACACCATCTGCCTATGTGTGTGCATGGGTTACATTTCTGCAGGGAAAGATAAAGATGACAGCCTCAACATGCACATTTCCCACGTGTTCAGTTAGTGTGGGATCTAAAGTTATGTATGGCGGTCTCTACCTCCAGCATGCAGCATGGCGGTCATGATTGCCGGCACCCAGGAGGTCTCCGTGTTGCTGGTTTTGAACTCAGTTTGAAGGTCTCTGTAGAAGATGCCGATGCATGAAGGGAATGCCAGCGTTAGAGACAGAACCAACACGGTGGCTACGAGCACAACCCAGCCCCAGCCCCCGTCAGGTGCGGCCAGGTGTTTGTGTTCAGCGGGGCCACCAACCTGCACAGCATCAGTGAGACAGGAGGCGGACTCTTGTTCCTCTTCTTGGTTTTCCTCCTCCAAATCACTGCGTTGCACTCCTGACGCTGGATGACACTTCTCCACTCCCTTAGCAAACTGAGCAGCATTTTTGCTTTCCCTCCAGAGTAAAGCATTATCTCTGTGGCTGTGCCTGCATCTTGCAGCTGGTGTCTGGACTTCCACCTGAGTCATTCTGCCCTGCTGCTGCTGCTGCTTTTAGTGTTGCGTCCTCTGTTGGAGATAAGACAGAGGCAGGGCTGTGAGCAGGATTTAGCAAATACTGAGGTCACGAGTGAATGCAATGTTAATGTTTTATTTAATTGTGATTAAATTAATTAAATTACAAAATAAAACTTACTACAGTAAAGATGAAGAAGAGGTTTCAGGTTGTAGTTTCTAATAATGTTTATCTGGTTGTGATAAATAAAGATCATAAATCACTTCATTATCAGAGGCTATCTAAAACTGGTGAACCATTACACAGGGAGCTGTGTGTTGCATCGGCCCAGAACATCCTCTCAGACTGGGAGTATTGGGACACATTCTCTTATTTTCAGTTTTCACAGTAACAGCCTGATATCAGGTTTTAATTAAAGTATAATAACAACTGATAACCTCCATGTCATTCTAGCCCACACTTTGGTTGTAAACCTATTATATGAGGACAATTTCACCCAAGCACATTTATCTCCATGGTAACTGTGTAATGTCCTCATCACTTTAAAATCCTGAGGAAATTAAGCAAAGCAAATATTGTAGCTGGGGACTGTAACCTAAATGCAACACCATCTCATGTCAGAGAAAAAAAACTTTTTATAAGAAAGCTTTTATGCATTTTTAATGCAACGGATTTTTTTAATACGCTGCCTTTGTTGCTTTATTGGTTTTTATTCGCAATTTCCGTTGTTTTTATTGTTTGCTCTTTTCTTTTCCCTGTAAAACTCTTTTAAACTACTATAACTGTAAAGTTGTTTGTTATTATTAGGCTACAATTATTAGTCAGAAAGAAGTTAGCAAGCAGTGTTTAGAGTCATTCACGCGCATCAAAAAGGTACAGCAAACTGGAACATATAAAAAGATTAAAAACAATTTCGTATTCTTAAAATAGTCTACTTGGATATTATTGTTAGGAATTGCCAAATTTCTGTCCATGCTGTCGGTATGATCTGTAAAAATCCTGAAATTGTAGGCCTACATAGCCTACAATATAGCCTAACTAAACTAAAATAATATTTTTTAAATGGTAATTGTCATCATCATATCTTAAACCATCAGGCTTTATCTTATGTTAGAAATATTTTAGTAGGCTGTACATAGGCATTATAAAGATGTGTTTTTATCTCTCTGTCTGCGGGGTTATTTTACCTTTTAGCTCTCCTTTCCTCGTCCCTTTCTTTCACTTCGCGTGTTAAAGTTCATCTCCGCGAGGTCAACAGCGTTCTGACATCTAACAGCACCTGAACCTCCCGTGGTCTCTTATTGAGCAGTCAGCTGCGTCAAGCTGGAGACTGACAGGAATACTCATACCATGCGATCATGCGATTCTTCAAATAAAACTACAGTCGTCACAAAAAGACGTTTTATAAGGAAATAAGGACCAGTTTGTTGACTTGAAATGCAAATAAAGCACCTGTTGCAAACTTTACCATATAACACTCACAACAAATCTTACTAGAATCCGCATTACTACTATACAAAAGTTTATGCCAAACAATATCATCTGTAATCTGTAATATCATCTGAGCATCTGTACCATGCAATGCATTTCAGTAAAAAAAAAAAAAAGTAAAAAGTAAACTACCTTTGAATTGTTGTGGCCACCTACATTTACACACGGACGGTTCGTTGTTTTATTTTGAAGGTTTCCATCGGAAATTATAGTGCGGTATTTTTGGCGTCTTGACGTTAGATGGAACTTCATTAATAGATTAAACTGTCGCTTGTAACGTGTCACAAAAGTAACGCAATTACAGTAGGCTAATGTATTGCACTTTGCTGTAATGCAGTAATACGTATTACTAAAAAAGTATTATACCTATTACAATTTGTTTAATTCAAAATTAGGTGGTGTCCTGTTGTGGAAATACGATGGTCGAGATTATAGGCAGGGTGCAAACTACCCTCCTCCCCACCCTATTAATCAGAAGGTTAATTTTTATGACATAGACCCACCCGATCCGCAGATAACTCTGCACATCACAAGAACCCACTTATTCAGGCACACGTAGGCCTACTATCAGAATAATAGGCCCATTAAATAGCAGTGAAAGTAATGCAAAAGTAATTCAGAGATAGTAATATTATAATACCGTATAAGTGATTACTCTCAATGACTAATCTATAATGCATTAGGCTACATTTTCGAAGTAACTTGCCCAACACTGGTCCCCAATAACCTCCTGTTTGAACGAACGGGAAGATATAGAAGTTTCTGCTGCCACACCACCAGACTGCAGAGACCCCCCCCCCCATCCCACCACAAGCTATGAGACTTTTTATCCTGATCAGCATTTAGTTTATTTCTGTTTACTATTTTTATAATTGCTTTTATATGTATATTGTCTGCTACGTAGGAGAAGGAAGTTACAAACTAAATTTCACTCTACATCCTGTTGTATTGTGACCAGATTGTGACAAATAAATCAAATGCACTCAATTTACATCCTAACCAGTGGATAAAATATTATCTCTGATGGCTCTATTTTATACCACTGAAATGTTTGCATTAATTAGCTAAATGAACATGAGGTCTACCGTCAAGACAAAAACAATACCATACTAACATTTCCTGGAAAACTTTCAAAATAAAACTATGACGAGCAACAGAAGGTCATTTCCGGTTCCTGTCGGCCGTCAACAGTTTGTCGGAGTTTGTGTCCCATCGACGGTATGACGCTCAATGTTTATCAGAAATATACATTTAAAAGATTTTCATGATCCCATCCAGAGAGAAATGTAGTATATCCGTTAATAAATGTTCCAACATGACATTAAACCTGCCTGTGATATTCCGACTGTGCGCGGTGTTGTTCTGACCTTGCTAATGTTAGCTTTGCTAACTAACTTAGATGTCAAACTGAAGCTAAATCACATGAGAGACGTATGAAAGGTCCGTGAATAGTTCTTTAGCTGTAAGTCAAACAATCCACACGTGTTGTCCATCCAAGTTTCAGATTTGGGACATAGATCTGAATATGTTTCAAAAAGATAGATAATAATACAACCAAATCCGGGAAACAGAAGCTTATTTGGAGCAATGTCAACAAGGAGTTCGCTAATTTAAGTGGCTATGCCATTAACATTGTTTATGAGCAAAAGGTTAATCTTGATTTTTCTGTCCCCTCTAGATAACACGCCCTATAACATGGCTGGGAGACGAGGTGCACTGAAGGCCATTGACTGGCTGGCTTTTGCAGAGAGGGTGCCACCCAGCCAGAGGACCATGTTCAACAACCTGAAGACACGGAGTGATGCTATTTCTGCAAAGTTTGTATTCCCGTTACATCCCATTTCCAAGATGTGACATGTCCTTATCGTTGTAATCATGAAAAATCCTAATATTCCCTTTAATAACCAGATGATCTGTGTTCACAGGCTCACCTCTCTGCCAGAGAAACCCGCCACCATTGACTGGAGCTACTACAGGTCTGCTGTGGCTAAAGCCGGCATGGTGGATGAGTTTGAAAAGAAGGTCAGAGAAGATCAGAAAGTGAACTATCTATTACCAGCTAGTCTGACTATGCGCTACTGAAATCTTATTTTACTGTTATCAGATATAACTTTCTGTTTCCTCTCAGTTCAGCGCCCTGAAGGTTCCTGAGCCTGTAGACACTCAGACAGCTCTTATCAACGCCCAGGAGGCAGAAGCGGTGAGTGCCACTCTGTTTAGATGGCATATGCTTTGGCTTAAACCAGAGTATTGTAATTTTATTCGTCAGCGCTCTACATGTTAAACTTAACCATATCCAATTATTAACCCAAACATGTGATGGATGAAAACCTTTTGAAAAGCAGAATTCATTTTGATACAGGATCAATTCCTTTTATAATATAGAACACTGTGTGTGGTACTGAGATTGAGTACAGTCAGAGCAATAAAATAAAGTGTGATTGTGTACAAACACCAGTAATCACTAAGAATAGCATTTAAAACAATATAATTTAACAAGTGCCATTTGTTTCACACAATATCCACACAGAAATACGAACAGTAAAAGTAGTAGTGGTTCAGAATATGAATAATGAAACTGATAATTATAGTAATGACAATAATAATAATAATTGTAGCAGCGGGTGTTAAGCAGGAACATGGGGGCAGCAGGTAACTCGCAGCCACAGATCCAGACTCCACAGCTTTAGAGTCAGAAACACCTGCAGAAAGCGACAGAAGGAAAGAGGGACAAGAAAGCTCATGACTACGGGAGAGGGAAGAAGTCGAGTTAGTAAAGCCGCATTTCGACCACAGGAACTATACCTCGGAACTAGGAACCTTTGGAGGAACTCACTGCGTTTCCACTGAAGGGACCAGGGTCTAAAATATTGGGGGGTGGGCACGTAGAGACTACTGGCTTTAAATCGAGCATGTTGAGTGTTTTTCTACGACTGCTCCTCTCTTTTCCACCTTGTTTGCAAACCAATAAATCACAATTAACAGTCAGATAGTACACACGTCTCGCCGATGTCACCTGAGATCGTACATCGGTATTAAATTTATTGCTCCGAAACAGCAGCCAGTGTTCAGCACTGTGTTGACAGCAAACAGCTAATGGAGTTATGCTAAATACTGGGTCTGAAGTAGTTGTTTTAAGTTTTCATCAGTCAGGAAGTTTATACAAGGAGCCGAAGTCGGTCTCCTCTTCTCCAAAACAAGCGGAACAGCTGGTTACAGCAGGTAATAAAGCTTAGCTCAGGCGGACACAGATGTGAGAGCTGCAGCTGATCTGCAGCTCTTGTCGGCTGAAATGTTGTAATAACCTTCCAAACTGTCGCGATTTTATGTTTGTGTTGTGTTCTCTGTGCTGTGTGAGTTCTTTTAAGAACTTTATGGTTTTATCCAGTCTGTTATTAAATTTGTAACAAACTCGTGTCTCTCCAAATACTCCCCAACAAAAAAGCTGCTTTAATGGTCAAGCACAGCCTATAGTTTTTTTCCAATGTTCCAATTAAATCTGATGTTCATTTATAAATTTTGCTACTATCTCATGGATAATGGTTACAAATGTTGA